ATTAGAAATACTTTTATAGTAGGTCCATTTTCGTTTCCAAGCTACAAAAGAGAAATTCATTTGAATTCTTTGCAAGTATTTTGTCTTATTTTTGACTAAGTTTTCCTCCTTTTTTATAATTTCAAACTACACTAGTATAATAAATCCTATTTATAAACCATGTCTAGGTTGATAATATACATAAACAAAAATTAAAATTTATTTGAATTTTGTTTTCGTGAATTTATTTTTGATTTTAATATCAGTCGTAAACAAGATAAAGTTAATCATTTGTAACATTATAATGTAAGACTCAGTAAACACACGAAATAATTAATTTTACGATTTTTAATGCAATTTTAATTGAGTTGTGCCATTAAAATTAGTAGAAAATCAACTTATGTTGATAAGGATTTCGAGTTCGGCTTTCATTATTGTCGTATTGGGAAGCAATTCCCAAAGGAACTTGTCATCGACTTTTGTCCTCCTCCAGGATCATTCCTTTAATCTTGTTGATTCATCTTCTAAATCATTACACGAAATTCCATTCAAAGTTTCTAATTTAAAGGCTCGTTTGCACGGAACTTGATACACTCCATTTTAATTTGAAGGCTCGTTATGTACCAGGAGAATCTCTTAAAATTTCTTACGAGTCAAATTTAATGAAAGGTAAAAATAAATAAATAATGTCCTACATATCAATTCGGATATCCCTAACGAATTGTTTATATTTTTCTTTATATTAATGTATGCCATTTTCATTCAGGAACTGCTGCTGTAAATTCGTTGAAAATGAAAAATATTGACTCAAAGAGATTGTTTGCACACTCACCTAAAGAATCATTAAGCTTGCAGTTTAGGTAAACTTTTTATCTCAACAACCAAAGTACAATGCTGTTAGCCTAAAGGCCACATTTTCTCATCTGAAAAAGAAATATCTTTCAGTTTGTTTTCATCATTTCCAAAGTTAATTTTATTTTCTCCAGTTATGTACAAAAGAATTTCTCTTCTAAGAAAACGAAATTAATTTGTGTAATATTTTTAAAAATATTAAAACAGATTTAACTTTCACAGATCAATTGGATTTACTTATTTATTTCTAATTAAATACTTAACATATTTATTATTGGGCTACAACTCTATAAAATTCCACTGTCTGTCTGTCTTTCCTTCCTTAATCTCAAGAACGAAGTTAAATCGATGAAAATCGAGACCAGATATGAAAATCGTAGGGGCAGGAGGCCCCAATTAATTACGTGATTTCAAGTCAAACATTTTTCCCTGTTAGATAGACGATCAGCACAATTCTATTGCTAACAGGGAAAGTATTATGTACAGAGGCAAGACACTACTAATTTGAGGTGGAGAGCATATATTTTAAATTAAATAAATTTAAAAAATATGATTAAAAATTGTAGCCTGGTGTTGTGATGATATCAAAATAAATAATTACTTAATTTATAAATTATAATAATTCTCGCCTAAAGACAAAATGATGTTTTAAATTTATAAATAAAATTTACAGCTAAAAGTTCAAATTTTCTGTTACGTAAAATATTTATTAAATAATTATGTAATCATTTCATAAATATTTATCTTGTTTACTATAAAATTTTATACGTGTGTTAATATTTATAAGAAATTATACTTTAAAAATTGATAAAATGCATTGAAGACAAGAAAAAAAGAGGAAAATCCAAAGATCCCTTTAACAGAAATCCGGATAAATATTCCAATTTAAATGCAGGATAATATTAAATTTGTATTCTACATTTTAATGTTGGATCCATGATCAGATTGATCGCTTTTATTTGAAGGAGCTTAAAGCATTTTCACAATTCTCTTACCTGTCACCGTCTTTTCTAACCGAAATATACTTTTTGCCTTAAGAAATATCTAACAATTTCTTCCATTATCCGATGATGAAACGTTATTCCCAGAAACTTTACAAAGTTTCTATTAAATTTTCAGTATTTACAACTTAAACTGTTCTGAAAAAGTTTAAAATTATCATTTATTTTTCCGTTCCAATACTTTCGAATAGTGTAATTTTTGGGATGCAATTTGAAAAAATTGTAAACCTATAAATTCCCACTGTCGTCCGTTTGTTGGTCCTTCCTTAATCCCTCGAGAACGGTTTTAGATAGTCGAAAGTCGAGACCAAATACGGAAAGCTTAAGAATAGGAAAAACATATTAACTATATATGAACTTCCAATGTAAACCAGAAGTCACATTATTTACAATTTTAAAATTTTCCCCTGAAAGGTGTTAGATAGATGATTAGCATGACTCTATTGCTGTCAGGTAAAGTATGATATACAGGGGCAGGACACATAATTTGAGATGGAGAACATATATTTTAAATGAAATAAATTAAAAATATGATTAAAAATTGCAACCCTACAGCATTGTGATAATGTCAGGATAAATTTTGCTCATTGTTTATGGTTTTTTGTATGCAATTAATTGAAGAAAAATTAAGAAAAATAATCACAATATTATATCAAATGATATTTGTGAAGGGAATAACCTTGGAAATAAATTTATTCTCTCATTAGAATTAATAAATATATTTACTTCATTTTGGATTCGGATGGATATAAGTTATAGATCCAATCCTTCTGGGAATATTATCTTTCTGGATGAGTAAACACACAACGAAAAAAATTAAAAAACTAATTTCTTTTCTTTTTTTTCATGAGTAGAAATTTTTATTTCTTTAAAATTAATTGAAAAAATAATAAATAATTTGGGAATAAATGATGTGTTGAGAATATCTTAAAAGCCATTCATTTAACAAAGATAAATGTAAATTAAGTAATGATAGTTTGCATCCGTTTTCGTGTTTTTCAAGCTATTATTAAGAGTAAATTAACTTTAAAAAATAAATATTTACTCATATAAAAATCATTCCACATTACTCATGAATAATGATTTGATAATTTAGAAGTCATAAATCATTTCCAAGACAATTTATAACATGAAAAATAAGTTAAACAGCCCAAAAAAAATCGATTAATTTGACTTATTTCGTATAACGTATTATATTAAATATATACAAATGTTTTCGAATAGAAGTTAAACTTTTATTTAAAATCAGAATAATTTATAAAATAAAAATTTAATTGCAGAGATATTGCATAAGAATATTTTTTAATATTTGTGTTCCTATATTAGACCTACGCGATTATAATATTTTAAATGGAACTTTACCATTACCTAAGATAAATTTAAAGTTTAAATACGTAATATTAATATTTATGAGTGAAGCGTGTTTACAAAGTAAATGTACCGAGGTACAAATCTATATTAAGGATATGAATATCATATTCAGCAAAGTTTAAAATATTTAACAAGTACGACAAAATTTATTACAATAATGGAAATTTAGATAGAAATTTTATAATTGATTCTAGAATTTATTCTTTTAATAACAAGTTATCGTTTCTTGTATTTTTCCCTATAATTTATTTATTATAGAATGGATATAAAGCCTTCTTCCTATAAAGTCTTATTCTAAATGAATATAAAGCTATGAATGGAGACAATTTTCTTCTATATTTTTGCAAAATTACAATTTTAAAATCGAATTTTTATTAATTAAATTCGATTTTAAAATTCTAAATTTGGCGAAAAAATAAAGAAGAAAATTAATTTTCTTCCTTATTTTTATAACTACTTTTCTTTTTCCAAAAGTCTATAGATTTACAACTTCTGCAGTTGAAGATTTATTTCTATTTTCTCTCTCTCTCTCTTTTTTTGTTTATTCTAGTAAATCTACGGAAAGATTTATCAATGGCTCAATTCGATATAAAGCAGGATCAAGAGAACAGTAGCTGCAGACATGTGGTGGTTGTTTATTGAGAAGGAATTCAAATTCTGTAACAAAATGAAATATTTAATTAGAATTTGAATTCGTTGTTTACTCCGAAAGAAAAATATAATATCGAGAGAAGAAATTCTCAGAATTATAATTTATCTTTAGTTAGAAGTTGACTCATCTTTGGGTAACGTTGCATGAAAAACAGCAAAGACGTTCCATTAAGTCGGATATAGCTTTCTAGATCGATAACTCGTTAACTCGGACACACCTATCACTTCGAATTAGACTTTTATTCTTGTAAATGTTTGATGATTGCTTCAATTAATAAACATTATCTCTTCACAAAACCCGAGAGAAGGGAATAGTTTAGAAATTCTTTAAATTTATCTCTGTTTAAACATAATCTTTCACTATTATTTACTAACTGGAAAGTACAAAGTGATATAGTTATGACGACAAAACTACGTCGAATGTTTACGTATATTTTTTAAAATTATTATCGTCTTCTAGACACGTGACACAGAGTATTGTCTAGTACAATAGACTCTTCTCTGGTGAAGGTATAAAGACACTTCCACTAGAAATAGCACAGATAAGAATAAACATAGCCATATCGGATATGAAGATTTCTATTAGCAAACATCTGTAGTGAAGCATTAAATTATTAATTATCTATGGAATGCAATCACGTGTAGAATATAAATAAATTAGCATTCCATGCTATTAAATTCATATTAAATCTGGTTATTAAATTGATTACGAAGTAAGGATTATAATTAGATTCCTGAGATTCCAAAATTTCCGAAAAAAATCAAAATTCTTCATTAAAATTAATTAATTTTATATTCATTTTCGAGTCTGATTTATAGAAGAATTTTAAACGAATCTGCATTATATTAAATATTCTATTGCAGGTACGTACGAAATTTTCTTATATTAATTTTTTTTTATTGAAGAAATTCTGAAGTTTAAGATACTTTCAAGTATGATAAATTAAGATTTTATATGATCTTTATACATGGATGATGCGGCTGTCAGTTTTTAATATAGATGTCTTATTATGAGTAGATTTTCAACTACTAATAGTGGTCCATTATCAGTTAAAATTAAAGTTTAAAATGGAAATAATGAATATTTAGAATTTAAAATATACATAAAAACAGATTTATTATTTTTTAATTTATATTTATTCATAGCAATAGCATTGAGTACCATTCAAGACTTCTTGGAAACGACAATTGTCATCAGGAAAGACAAGAAAAACGAATTAGGAATTACAGTTTCGGGTGGGAGCGACACTTATCTTGTAAGTAGCATTTTTATTATGAAAGGGCCTATAAACATTTTAATTTGTACAAAAAAATCTACTCTTCTGTACAAAAAATTACATTTAAACTTAACAAAAGAAAGCCATCAAACGTGATAATTAGACACAGAAAATAAAATCGAAATGGAATTCTCTTCCTCTGGTCGAGAAAAAAATGATAAAATAAATGTCTCCAGTTTAAAATTAAGTATGCTTGTCTTTTAAAGGAGTCTACAAGGATACACTAAAAGAAATATTAATATATTATAATGTTTAATTGCTTCAAAAAATTATAAAGGAAGTAATGTGTTGTCAATTAAAGATATTGTTCGAATAAATATTTTTAGATAGTTAATTAGAGATTTGATGTCGTGAAGTGCAAGATCTGTTTTTATTCCAGAAAAGAGTTTCCAGGGAAACGGCACGAAAAAACACTACTTATACAAAAAAACAAGGAGCGAAACAAGTCAGTCACTAAAAGAAATGAAGATTTCTGGTTTTGTTTTTGTTTTCTTTTGTTTACGTTTAAAATTCAAGAAGAATTTACTTTATATTTTATAAAATTTCGTGTTAAATGACATTAAAATATAAATTTGAGCTAAAATTTCCTTTTTTTTTAATATAGAAAAAGAAATTGCCGCTCAATTTTATTTAAAAAATAAAATATAAAAAATACATATAAATTGGAATGATTTTAACAACGTAGCCATTAATATTATAAAACTGCTTTTCTTTTGCATTCATACTTAACTAACCATTAGTAGAAAAATAAATATTTTAACAATTTACAAACTAAAAGTAATTAAAATGTTATAAATATTTTTAAGCATAATTGTAATTAGAACTGTCAGAACTTTTTAAATTGTTAAACAAATTCTGTTTTTTATTTTTTCCTTCATTTTATTGCAATTTTTTAGAGAAAAATTGCAATAAAAAGGGAATATAATCAATAGTTTTTTTTATTCGTAAACTATTACGCTTTTTTTTCTCTTCACTTGAATTACATTTTGTTCCATACAATCTCATAAATTGGCTATTACTTTTCTGAACCTTTTCTTTTTGTTCTAAGTTTAATGTTGGCTTCTTATTATCAAAGATTTTTTCTCATTATTTTTAACATTAAATGAATATAAAGCTATGAATGGAGACAATTTTCTTCTATATTTTTGCAAAATTACAATTTTAAAATCGAATTTTTATTAATTAAATTCGATTTTAAAATTCTAAATTTGGCGAAAAAANTAATTTATATATATATATATATATATTCTCATATTTTATTAAGTTATTTTTATGCATTAAATCAGCCAAAACGGCAAAGAAAGTTATAAAATGCCTTCTTTTTCATAAACATACACACAAATGTTAAAAGAATACATTTAAAAATACATAAAACAATACGACATGTAACAATGGTGGAATTGTAAATCTTTAACAGATTGTATGATTCTATACTTTGTATTTTTGAACATAAATAAAACTATGATTTAATTCTAAAGTACACAGAGCAAGAAAGGGAATTTTATTTAAGTACATAAATCGTTATAGAAGAACAACAAGAAAAGAAAGTTTAGGTGTTCGTAATTATTGAGGAAAAACGGGAAGGATATTTACATAAAATGATTATAGACAAACGATAAAGTTAAATGAAGCGAGAAATTTAAAATTGACTATTCTTTATAACTTCTATACTCTCATTTTGTCTTCTAATACGAAATGCAATCGGATTCTCGACTTCTTACTAAGAAAGTATTAATAGAAACCGAAAAATTTCAATCAGATAAAATCAGATAAAATATAATTATTGAAACTTTAATATGTATTTTCTGTAATTTTTATCAATTTGTGAAAAAAATTATTTTTTTAAAGACGATAACCATTTCTTGCTTATCACTTCAATCGATCTGATGTTTCCTCCTTCTTATCTTCAACTCAACAAAGACTGTGTTTTCTTTCACATCATAAAGATGCCATTACGTTAAATAATCTTTTGAATTACAGAAAAGTTTAAGGAGGTAATTTAAATTAAATTTTTTAAACTATTTTTCGTTCGAATTTTTAAAATAATTTCACAAACTTCTCACGCAAAGAGCGGATGCACTTAAATAAATTTACTAAACAAGTAAGGTAATTATTATTATTATTATTGAGCTTGTTGAGGCCATCGTCTGTGAAAGTCGTTTAAAATTCCTGCAGATATTTGATGTGGATATAATTACGCCGGATTAAAATCAAATTTCAGGAACAAGTCTGCGTAGTCGAAGTACATTCAGATGGATCGGCGAGTCGAGATGGAAGATTAAAAAGAGGAGACGTACTCTTAGCAGTAAGTAGATGCTGTTGAGAATCTAATTAGCTAATAAATATAAGGGAAAATATACTTTCCACCTGTATTGTTTACCTTATCATAATGGCAATTTATTCAGATTGTTTGCCTCCCGTAACGTATCGTGTGTTGCTTAGATTATAATGAAATTAGCGCCAAGAGTAATTGATCGAACTGAAACAATGCTATTACAGGGTATTACTTTACCTTTTTTCTTATCGTCGTTAACAATTAATTTATTTTTAAATGAATAAACCATGCGATTAATTTTTTTTTGGTACGAAATTCAATTACTTTGTTTTGATTTCTTCATCGCATTACTAATTTACTTTCACACGAATCAAAACCCTATAAAAAATTAATTTTGTTATACAGTATTTCTTTTTATCGGGATATATTGCTAGAGGATATTTTTCGTATAAGAAACTTGATTTTTATTATTTATACATTTCGTGCCAGAATTTTTGTGAATTTTTATTAATAAGACCACATGCTTTTGGAATTTTACTGGCCAGCAAAGTACAGTATATATATATATATATAGGTTACACGTAAAAATGATTATTATATATTCAATATGCGCAAGATATTAGAATTTCTTATAACCAAAAATTACATTAAGAAAAGAAATATATTTTTAAAATTGAGCATCTTATACTTAAAACATATTGCATCTTAGAATTTGAACGGCAATTAATTTTAAATGAAACATTCTTCTTAAGAGATAATAAACTAAAAATAGAGAAGACATTAAGTATCCTATCATTTTTCATCATAAAATATTGCCATTATCTTCTTAAAATTTAAAATACATACGAATAGAAAAGGAATTATTGAATTGTTTGCACGATCGTTATTCATTTTTTTCCATTTTTTTTCTATTCTAAGCATCGATCAATTAATCTTTCTTTGTTCTTACAAAACTTTGTGTTTTTTTTCTAATATTCACATTAATTTATTTACTAATGCAGTTTCTTCAAGAAATGTTCGAACAGACATACGCTTTTCTTTTTATGTTAAAGGTGAACGACGTGTCTTTACGTGATGTTACTGCAGCGGAAGCAGTCAAGAACCTAAGAGAAGCTACTTCACCTGTCCGTCTTCTAGTTTTGAGAGAAAATCCTCAGACTTTATTTACTAGTAACGAAAGCAAGTTTTTAGTTTCTTTTTACTGAAGGAGAATTTTGTTTCCGATTGACATTCTCTAATTGGTATGTTCCATGCAGGTCCATCCAAGTTTATTACCGTGGAATTCAGAAAATCCAGTATCAAAGATAGACTCGGGCTGAGTATCATTCAAAGAACGTAAGACTCATAAGATTTACTTAAATAAAATTGTAAAGTTTTGTTATATACATATATATATTTTAATATTTGAAGAAACGGGAGAGGAGTTTTTGTTACTTATGTGGTAAATATATTTTTTAAATATTTATATTGCTTAAAATTGATCTATATACGTATATACTAAAAAAGTAATATACCATATTGTTAAGCAACCGGGTAGTATAGCAGCCAGACACGGTCGTCGCATAATGCAAGGTGATAGAATCCTAGAAATTAATGGACAAAATGTTAAAGATAGTAACCAGAAGGATGTGGCACAGATGCTACAGGTTAGTTTTTTTTATGCTTAATCAATATTGGCAAAGAGCGATGTTAGAAACGTGTTCGGATTAAGGAAAAAACAAATGAATTTTTTGAAAGTTCGAACAAATAAAATTGTTGTCAAATGTTATTAACCATTGTAAATTATGATTAACGTTTTCTGTAATGAAACAGAACAGCTGGCTTTAATGATAGAAACGTTGTTAATGGTTTAATCAAACGAATCAATATTTGTCATAAATGCAATTTTAGTGTTGTTATTTAAAATAATTATAAAATTCAAATTTATTACTTTCTGTTGTTATTTCGAAGCATTTCAATATTCGAAAATACTTATCGATTCTAGTCTAACGATTATCCTTAGATAATCCTCGATCATCATCGATAATTAAATGAGGATCGAAGAGGAATGTATTTATATCAACTTCCTAAGATTACTTGGATGATAAAATACTCTTAGATTCAAACACGTTCGTAATTATGACATTTTAACTAATCAAAACTTGAAAAATCTGTTTTGTATACATTTTATGGAAAATTTATTCCAGTAAATTTAACGAGAATATTTAAATCAGTTATAACAGTATCGTTCTCATCGGTAATATTTGCATTTCTAAAAATTCTTACAATTCTAATGATAATGAAAACTCGACCTTCCTTTCTGATTCTACTTAACATTAGAAATCTTTTACGAAATTCCAATCATTTATAAATCCAGAATATCAAGAAAATATTTATAAAATGTTATATTTATCCGCATAAATATGATTTCTATATTTTTCGAGTGACCTCGTAAAATATTTTTCATTTATTTTAAGAAACATATTCCAAGTAGAACGTTTTCTAATCTTTCATTTATTATATTTTTATCCAATTATTTATTCATTTTATGAATATTATTTTTATGTAGGAGACAACTCTAATATAAAAATTGAGGCATGAAGATGCCCAAATATCGTGTGTAGTGATATTGCGTGACGGCCTATGTTTAAAAATTGTACTATTTTGTTGTGGCAAAGGATTAATACCACTTTCTTTACATCAATACAAATATTTAACTTGTATTATTCTTGCAGTGTTGTACGATAAAATAATTAACGAGTTAGCTTCTAAAATTTCTTAAAGGATCAGTTTCTTAGATGAGTAAAATTATACAATTGTGTCGTTAAATTCTTTACGGATAATGAATATTTCTTTTGTCCTGTAATGCAGGTACGATACATAAATCAAATTAATTATTTATCATAATTACAGCTAAAACAATAATTAGGGAAAAATTATTTATTTCTACAAGGTTAATTAAGTTACAAACTATCGATAGTTTCGTTTCATGAATGATTAATGAATCGGCAACGCTTTATTTTAATGGAGAAGAGTGTATTATATCTTTACTTCTTTGCTTTTGTTTATTTATTATAAAATAATTTACATAAATCAAATATGAAATGTGATATAATGACATGAAAATTTACATATATATTTTTTTCTATATACAATAATAAAATGTATTGAGGACAGAATTTAATTACGGCCTTGTTATTTTAAGTTATTAGTTAAGGTGTCATTAGTACTCAAATCGGGAAAAGCTCAATGTTCTAATTATGTATATTATATCCAAATTTATATTCTATCGGTCTGAAGAATATTCCATTCATACAATTTATACCTCAACGAACAAGCCTTATCACAGAGAAGTCAGCAGATCTCCAATGATCGGACTTCATTCATGTTCATGTGTCATCGAAAATACTCGTCACAAATTATTTATTTCTTTGAATTTTTTGTAGGCCTATACTAAGAAAAAATTCCTTTAATTATTGTCAAATTTCATTATTAATATTTAAAAAGTACAATACGATTTTAAAAAAAATATACTAGAGGATCCCTAGTAGCCTATATATTTAAAAAATTGTATTGTAAATCGGTAATTGCCTAGATTTCTCTTGACTTCTGAGAGAAATTTTCAGCAAACTTTAACTTTTAAAAAATTGAAAATTTGGGTATAATTATAAAAAAAAATAAATTGGAAATATAGTTTTATATAAAGATTTACCTGTGGCGCGTTATCTTATGGGAAAAATTTCCATCAAAATGGGGACCAACCAATCTTTTATAAGTAAATATTTCCTTTAAAAGACCTTTAATATTTTCTTTAATGACTGAAGTTGACACTGTACAAGAGACCCCCTAATTCAAATTTGCCTGGTCTCCATGGAGCTATAACACGCCATTGAGATTTACTCAGATTCAAACCAATAATAAATTATAGGGGACTAGATTAATAAATAAGGGAAAAAATGAAAAAGCTTGTGTAGGCCTACAGAAGTCCAGTGTTAGTTAGACTGCCTATATAAACATCTTCAATTTTATTACTTTAAATTTTCCACTTTTTCAAGCTTGATGTATATGATTATTGTTAATTTAATCTGTTAAAAGTAAATTTACATTATCTAATAATTCAAGGGATAAGGAATGCACAATATAATTTTAACTTGTGATGAACGACTAGTATTTTTCTCTTTCTCAGTCAGCACTATTAGTAACGTGTAAAAAATAGCCTAAGCTTACTTGATGATAGCGAAAGCGTATACAGGATTATATACACTTCATACGGGCACTGCTGAATAATCTGGGGGCTGTTATATTTTTGGGGGCTTAGTCTCCTCATAGTCTCTGTAGGCACTGTTCTAGACTGATTTTCTGTGTGTATGAAAAATAAATTATACGGATATATCTTTGTAGCATATAAACACAAGCTTTTATGTAAGAGTACAGTTTATACATTATAAATACATTAGACCCCTCCTATAACACGGTAGATACGTTCCGTTTTATATGAATTCCGTGTTTTACGAGTCACTTAAATACATGAGCTAATCACAGCCCGGCACGTGTGCAGTTTAGGGACTATGGCTGTTTGAAAGGCTTTCTTCTATAAAATTAATCGATTCTAGACTAATTTGACTCAACATTTCCAAAACATGTATAATTTTTTGGGAATAATCCATATAAACTATGCTATAAACAAAAAATTGTAGGATTACTTACCGANTCTTACACGAACGATTCCTAAGGTTTCATGTTTTAATTTTTACTATTAGAAAAAAACATATTAGGATAAGTCTTTTCAATTTTTTCCGGTTCGAAAGATTGCCATTTTTATTATTATTGTTCTCAATTAAGCTGCTAAATTGATAGAAACTTAATATATTTTATTCGATTTTACATCGTTGCTATCTAGAAACAAGAAAATACTTTGTAATATTTCATAATTTTTTTTATTTTTTCATCTTTTGCAGCTCGTTAAAATCATGATATTACTTTTACGAATAATAGCAATAAAGACAAAAATTCCTCTAAGATTTCTATTTAGATAATTGTAATCAATTTTTAAATTTTCGCTGGATGATAAAATTTTTCTTTAAAAATTAAGACGTAGTCGCTTCCAAAAATTCTTGGATGATCATCATATTTCTTTTAAATGTTCCTTAGTGAAAACTTCAGACGACCCGACCTTCCTTTTTAGGCTACGTGGCCGTCCTGGAAAAAGTTCCTTAAAACATAGAAACAACCAATTAAAAATTAATAATTTTTTTAAAATTGGATTTGATTATTACTTTTTAATTGGTTGTTTCTATGTTTTAAGGAACTTTTTCCAGGACGGCCACGTAGCCTAAAAAGGAAGGTCGGGTCGTCTGAAGTTTTCACTAAGGAACATTTAAAAGAAATATGATGATCATCCAAGAATTTTTGGAAGCGACTACGTCTTAATTTTTAAAGAAAAATTTTATCATCCAGCGAAAATTTAAAAATTGATTACAATTATCTAAATAGAAATCTTAGAGGAATTTTTGTCTTTATTGCTATTATTCGTAAAAGTAATATCATGATTTTAACGAGCTGCAAAAGATGAAAAAATAAAAAAAATTATGAAATATTACAAAGTATTTTCTTGTTTGTAGATAGCAACGATGTAAAATCGAATAAAATATATTAAGTTTCTATCAATTTAGCAGCTTAATTGAGAACAATAATAATAAAAATGGCAATCTTTCGAACCGGAAAAAATTGAAAAGACTTATCCTAATATGTTTTTTTCTAATAGAAAAACTTAAAACATGAAACTTTAGGAATCGTTCGTGTAAGAGAATTTTTATAATAAATGAAATTATCTTGAAAAACTGGTAATAATTTTAACAATTTATATGCAAATGAATTCTCTTTATCAGTATTTTGATACGGGATTTAAAAATATGACGTTGAACGGGAATAATAATAATATGCATTCTTTCTAAACCGATTTTCGAAATTGTATTATCGAGACTTTGTTATAAAAACATAACAAAAGAGAAATAATAGAAAACTAGAAAATATTAATCTCTTGTAAAAATTACATTATAAAATTATATTTTTATAAAACATTTTTAGAATATTTTAATAATTTAAAGATAACCCCACATTTATTCTCTTGAATGGATACATATTTAAGAAAATAATCTATCTTACAGATGAAATCAGTAATAGTTTATAGAGTTAAATATTTATTTTAGATTTAAATTTATATAATTATTTTTATTTAAAAAAACTAGAAGAAATGTGAATTTTTTGAAATTGTATAATGTCTTTATTCGGGAATAGTTAAAGTTTAATGGCTTATTCTAATAATTATAGCTTGATACTTTGCTTTAATTACATTTAAAAAATGGAAAAGATAATACAAAATATGAGTAGAATTTTTTGCAAATACAGTACAAATTAATTTTATGAATTAATCATATAGTACTGATAATTTTAACCCAAATATTCTAATAATAAAAAAAACGTACTGTCTACATGAGAAATTTTTGAATTCGAAACACGTGGCATTTAACATTTGTATAGTTCCTCAGCAAAAGTTCGCGTGGTTAATATAATTCTCAAATAAAATTCTATCTATAAATGAAAAAAGAAAATTATTTATTATAAAGAATATATGGTATATGATAAGGTAAAGTGTGTGGAATAAATA